CCATGGCACTCACTCTAGCCAGGGCAACAGAGCGAGACTCTGTCTCAAAAAAAAAAAAAAAAATGCAAGGATTAGTAATTTAGGTTCTTAAACTGCAGAAAACAAAGTTGAGGAAAATATCTTGAAAGAAGAAGCCAGAAGGGGAAAAAAAACCTTACCTATAAGAGAAGCAAAGATGAGAATTACATCAACTACTTACTCTTTAGAAACCATGCAAGCAAGAATAAAGTGGAGTAAAATATTTAAATTGTTGAGAAGAAAAACAACCAACCCAGAATTCTGTATCCCAAGAAGTTATCCTTCTAAAGTGAAAGAGAAATAAAAATTTTTTCAGACAAAAATTGAGGAAAACTATTGCTAGTAGATCTGCCTTGCAAGAAATTTTCAAAGATATTCTCTATAGAAAATGAAAATTATATATGTCAGAAACTTGGATATATAAAGAAAGGAAGAACACTGAAGAAGGAATAAGTGAAGGTAAAATAAAAACTCTTATTTTTTTATTCTTAACAGATAACAGTTTGTTCAAAAAATAATAGCAATAATGTATTCAATTATGTATGTTTTTCTATATATATCTCTTGTGTGTGTGTGTGTGTGTGTGTGTGTGTGTGTGTATGTGTGTGTATCGGCACTCTGTATTCATGGATTCTACGTCCGTGGATTCAACCAATTACAGATCAAAAGTATTTGAAAAAAGAACAATAAAAATAAGAATATAAGAATAAAAACAATACAAATAAAAAACAACACAACAACTACTTACATTGTATTAGGTATCATAAGTAGTATAGAGAAGACTTAAAGTAAGTATGTGGAAAGATTGAGTAGGTTATGCAAATACTATGCCATTTTATACAAAGGACTTGAACATCCATAGATTTTGGTATCCAGTGGGGGTCCTGGAACCAATCCCTTACAGATACTAAGGAACAATTGTGTGCCCACACACACACAGTTTGAGTATCCCTTATCCAAAATGCTTGGGACAAGAAGTGTTTCATATTTCAGGGTTTTTTTGGGAATGTTAGAATATTTGCATTATACTTACTGATTGAACATCCCAAATCTGAAAATCTCCAACAAGAATTTCC